GTGGGGGGTGGGGATCGTTTTAACCAAAAGTTTTTTTTTTTTTTTTTTTTTTTTTTTGAGAGAGAGTGCCCTGAGGCTCTCATTGAGTTTTGTAAATCCTGGAGTTATTCCAGCAAGAGACTATGGAGATTTCAAGGTTATTATGCTGCTGCATTTGTGGTTTCACTAGCTTGTATCTGCATGAGGATTTCCCAGTAATTCATTAAAAGATAGTTGCCCTTTTTTTTCCTTTGATTTACTTGGAGGAAGACTTAAAGAAGAAAAAGAAGATTGTTCAACTACCAGAATATATTAGTAAAATGTTGTTGTAAACACTGAAAAAGCTATATATGTGTTTGTTTTGAGTGTGCACTGTGTTGAACAGTTCTTTGTTTTAAATTCTCCCAACAGGAATTAAAGATTGATCAAAAAACCCCTCTGCGGGTTCTTCACAGAAGGCCCTTAGCTGTAAGATCTCGTGTCATTCACACCATGAAATCTGAATACATAGATGACCATCACTTCCGTCTGCGTCTGAAAACTCAGGCAGGAACGTATCCTTTACCTTCTGCATTATACATTGTAGAAATGGTGTATTGTTGTTCTGGTCATACAGGTGGTGATTTCTTCTACAAGTGCTAAAAGTTTGCTTTGAACTGAAAAATGTAAAAGTTATAAGCTCAGAAATGCAAGTGGTGTGCACTGTAACAAGAGCCCCTAATTATTTTTAAGATACAGGATAGCAGCGAACACATAGATATACTCAGATTTCAGGCCCTTTATTTGTCTTAAAATGGAGAGACTCAAGCCTTTGGCATATTGCAAATTGGATAAAGATCTGTGCGTGTTATTTGCGAGGTAGGGTTTTTTTAAGCCTGTGTTTTCACTGAAGTCTTCAGTGGTGCTTTGAAAGCAGCATTTGTCTCTAAATCCGTACTATACCCTAAATACTTAGCCGTTTTTGTTTAAGTAAAGCCTTTGAATATTGATCTGATGTATCAGACACAGACTAATTTGGGTAGTAGCATTATAGAAATGCTGTGTGTTAAGAAATTCTCAGTTTTTCCTGAAAAACACTTTATATCCTCTTGGTTTTGGTTCTGATATGGGCTTCCAAACACTGCATGAATAAACATACCAAGAGTCCTATTGCAGGTTCCATTGAATCAGGAGAAAGGTTTCATTCCCTATATGTAATGGAGAGCATGGGGGAGGCTCAAGATATGTAATTAATTTGTATTTGAGAATTTGTTAGATCCTGAGTTAAGTGTATTTGGTTTTAGCTTTTAATATTTACCTAACACATAGGTTCTAATAGTCTGTTCAAGGAATGATAGCAGGATGACTCACTCATTTATTAAATAGTTACTGATAATTTTTTTAATGAAACTGTTCTAATGACTGAATATTGGTATGTTGGATGAGTTGTTGCTACTTACTGTAATGGGCTTAGAATTCAGTAAAATGTCACTATCCAGTTTGAACGAAGAATGTTAAGACTAGTTGACTATTTGATAAGCAAATGCTTATCTGATAGTCGAGTCGACCAGTCATTTTCCCCTCCCCCCCCTTGCTGCCTCTATCAAATAGAGGCAGCAAAGGGGGAGGAAATAGGAGGTACTTGAAAGTGGCAGCACCGCACAGCTGTGTGATGCTGACCCTTTGAAACGCTGCCTCGGTGTTTCAAAGCAGCACCGCAAGGAGCTGACTCTGGGCTCCATGTGGGCGCTTCCGCTTTGAAATGTACAAGAGCCCCCACTGGGGACTCTTCTACATTTCAAAGCTGGCACGCTGCATGCAGCCTGGAGTCAGTGGGACTTCCTGCTGGCCCCAGGCTGCACATGGAATTCCGCATTCCTCCTTTGAAATGTACAAGAGCTCCCACGAGGTACATTTCAAAGACGGGATGCGGAAGTGCCTATCGACTACTCAACTAGTAAATTAATCATTAGTTAACATCCCTAGTTTGAACCAAACAAAAGCCTGGATTGTGAGGGACAATAGCTTTCAACTTTACAGCTAGATCCCAAGAGTTAAAGATGGCAACAGCTCCCACAACTGATCTTTCCAAACACAGTGTATCTTGGATCAGGAACAGAACTAGATTTTGGTATTGCTGCTTTGTGTTCTTTGCCATATCCATTCTACATTAGTCTGCTCCGGCCACACAAGGCCCACACCCACTTTTCCTTAAGCAAGATCTAGTTACATTAAAGAGTTTGTACATGGAGACTTTGGAAGAACAAAACCCAATATTGGCTTCCTACTTAAGAGAACTGCTGACATTCTGGAGCTGGATGTGGAGGTAAATTGTTCATAATATATCAGAAGTGGCCGAACTGTGGCTTTTTTACATTTAATGTGCAACTTAGGGAGCCCCTCTGCCCTGCCCTCCCCATTCTCTGCCTACCAGACTGGTGTGGGGAGGAGAGCTCTGAGCTTCTGCCCTGCAGCAGGGGAGTGGGATAGCGGTAGCTGTTGGAAATGACTGGTGCTTGGTTGGGGAGGGGCACAGTTTAAAGGTACAGCCCCCCAACAATTTGAGTCACACATCCTCTTACCCTCAGTGGCTCCTCCCTGCAGCTCCTCTCTGTTGGCTGCTGCCTCTTTCCAGGGCCGCAGCTCCCAGCTTGCCAGCCCCAGGAACTGCTATGCAGGAATGGGGCCTGGCAACCCCCCAACACCTGGCAACACCCCAAGCCTTAGCAAAAATGGGGGGGGGTGGGGATGTGAATGACCCCATGTCACCTCCTCCTTCCCCATTCCTTCCAGTTTCCGCCCTCCCTGGAAGGTAGCTCTCAGGGTGCTGAAGCTCCGAGACAGCCCCATGGAGAAAGAGGAAGCCCAGAGCCGGGTCTCCAAACTTTTCTGCCCGAGGGCCGCATTAACTATCAAACAGCAGTTCGGGGGCCGACTACACACTTGAGGTCCAAATAAAAAACAATCAAAACATGGATGTTGTTTTTAATTATTTATTTAATATTATTTTATTCAGTTATTATTTAATAACACATTGATACACTACACATGAACACCTGTATTAGTGTGAATGGTGAAATTGTTTCCTGGATGCCAAAATAGCAGACATTTCTGGCTTTAGATTTAGAAAAAGTAAGCAGCGAATAAGGTTTTGCAATGTAATGATCGGTTGGAAAACATAACGCACTACTGTGTGCCTCTATTTTAATTCGGTAAAAACATAACGTCCACGTAAGCTGCGGCTGATCTTGGCAGGATACACGTAAATTTCTGTATTTTTTTTTTCCGTAGACAAAAAGGTCTCCACGGGCCGGATGAGAGGGCCTCGCGGGCCGCATCCGGCCCGCGGGCCGTAGTTTGGAGACCCCTGCCCTAGTAGGCACCTCCCGCAGGGCTCAACCCCAGCCGGTGTGCTCTGGTTCTCCATCTTCTGAAGGTTTTCACATACAGGTTAGGGGGTCAGTTAAGTTTGGCCACCCCTAACATATATCCTGTCTTGATGTCAGCAAAGCAATTGCATTTCAAAGGGTTTTGTCTCTACATGACAGATAATCCAGAATAAAGCACAGTATGAATTTAGAGCAGATGAGCTACTGCAAAATGCCTTAAGTTACTTTGGAATAAGACCGTCTTATTCCAAAGTAAGAGAAGTCACAGATGGAGTTAATCAGGGATAAGTATTTTGGAATTTCTCCTTAGGTAGACGAGCCCTAAAACTGTAGTATAAACTTTATTGCTCTGGCCTAATTAACAATCCTTACTGTCGTTAATGCAACATATATTAATACAAAATAATCATTGAGTTTTAAATACATCATCAAGCCATATGCTCTACTAGATGTACTCCACTGACCTCGTCAGGGCTCATCGTGGGAGCAGGAGTCTGCTTACCTGGAGAAGGGTCTCCTGGACAGCATGTGATTGTTTAAACTCTGGCTTTATAATGTTCATCAGTGCATGGGGGAGTGCAGCTCTGCATATTATGTGCATCATGCCTTCTCCTTTTAAGAGAACTTCTGAGAAGTGGGTCTGGATCAGAAATAAGAATAAAGTGGCCTTTTCCATCAGTGCCATTGATTCAAATGCAGCATTGAATAACATTTGATTGAGGCGGTAGTCTCAGTTTGGTTTCTAATTGACACCTCTCCATATTACAGTCTCACTATCCCAATGGCAAATGACCAAATGGGCATGAAGACTAAATTTTTCTTGTACCAAAAGATATTCTCTGCGAATCAGAAATTAAACACATTGGTAGGACAGAGCACTGGAGGAAGCCTGGGCTGATTCAGATCTCAGGATGGAGGGAAATTTTTGCAAGTATTAACAATCAGGCATGATCACTCATTTCACGTTAAAAAAGAAAATAAGGAACTAGAAAATAGGGATGTGAAGGTTAACTAAAAAAGAAAATAAGGAACTAGAAAATAGGGATCTGAAGGTTAACTAGTTAACTGGTTCCGGTTAACTGGTGGGGGCTGGAACAGCTCCCCACCTGCCAAGGGTAGGTGGCTGCTCCAGCCCTCTGGGGTCCACAACAGAAAGACTTAAATTACTTGATCCTAAATTCTTTAGCTTTTGTCACAGAATAAGCGCACAGAATCGTCAGTTTGAAATCCTGATTAGAAATCCTTTAAATTATGAACAAATTCCTGACATCATTGAAATCAGCAATAGTTCGGCTGCTGCCTATAGTGCAGTCAGGACTTCACCCATCCATGTGTGAAGAACTGCACACATTGTGCTACAAATGATCATTTCTTTTTCCTTCTGCTGTCATAATCTATATTGTAAGCTAGCTGCATGTATTTTAATGTTTAGTGATTTATTTATGAAAAAGATGGACTAAAATAAGGTCTTTAGTGTTTGGAATTTCAAATAGAATCACTGAAATATTATTGTAAAAAAATTCTTGATACCATAGGGATTCTGCTTTCCTAATATTTTAACTGCAAAGTTCAGTTATGCACTGCACAGGCCTGAATTTAATATTGAACTAAATGGCTCCAGTTTAAAACATTTTTTGAAATATGAAACAGCCAGCATCAGGATTTCCTCTTTGCTAACTGTATTCCTGCAAAGGGGAATGGGTGAGGAGAAAGAACCTACAGACAACTGCTGAACACGAGCTAGACTGCTAATGCTAGCCTGCAGTTGCTAAGCATTGCTCTCACGCTGAATGGTGTCAGTGCAATTATGGCACACACCTATGAAAGATGTCTGGGGACTGGAAAATAATTAGTCATTTTACTAATAATGGGTTTTCTCTTAGCCCAAGAACCTAATCTTTTTATGAAGATGTAGATTAGGTAAGGAGTAGGTATGATTAATTTAGGCAATCTTGAAGCCAGGGTGTTTAACGTGCCATCATTGTGACCCCAGTTTGACAAATGCCTGATGCTTCATTAGTGAGGGCTGTTCTGCCTTGGGAGCACAGCTGGCAACAAGTTTACACCCAAAGGGAATTGGCAGTGGGGCCTCTGTGAGGCCAGGGGAAAAAGATAATCCAGGTTCCATTAATTGTTAGACTTGCTGCTAATAAAGTATATGTCAAATATGATTTGTGCATTTTGACCAGAAGTAATCATGACTGTTAATTATCTGACCTACATAAAAGCAGCCATTTTATTTTTTGAAGGAACTATCCAAACTCAGGAGGCATATTTGGGGAGGGATCAGACTATACTCAAACCCATCCTACCGTTCCAAACTCTGTCTTCACTCCTGTAATGCCTGGATATTTTTGCTGTACTGATCAGCATTAACAGCAGCTATTAATCCCATTTAACTCACCCTGATCAGCCCGAACTATTATTTAGAGCTGGCTGGCTCCAGACTCAGGCCAACATCACTGTATTAGGTAACACTTAGAAAAGCCTAATGTAAACTGTAAAGGTTAAAAGCTTATACTGCAGAAACTTACGGGCCCTCAGAGAAAAGCAAACATACCATGCCACTGTGTACTGGCTTAGTCCCCCTTTCCCTTGTGCTATGCTGCTT